GGTGACAGAGGAATCATTGTCCATGAGGGGGTGTGGGCATGGGCAGGAGGTGGACCCAGCAGGCAGGGAGGATTGAGGCCATGCCACTCCTGCCAACCTCTGAAACCTCCAACCTGCACAGCATGTTGATGAGTTCATTTGAGCCAACCTGGCGACAAATGCCGGGAAGCAGAACCTCAAGGGACTGGGGAAATGCTCAGGGAATGGCCGTTTGGCACCTGTTTTACACCTTTGAATCGCAGGCGGCGGCGTAAGGAGGGTTCCACGAAATCCATGGGTGGTGGGTGAGGGGGCGGAAGGACAGCAGGGTAATCTGTGAGAGGGGATAGAGAGCAGAGTGGGCACACACCTCTTTTACAAGCCTGCGTCCAGGATAGGTCACCGTTAACCTCGATAGCACACAGAGACGGCATTTGGGCACCGCGGTCGTGATGGGAGTCTGTGGTCTGTTCTGGTTGGAGGCTTTACCTTGCGTGGTCTGTCGAAGGGGGTTACTCTTGACTCTCCCAAGGCGTGTCATCATAGATGGAAACAGACAACAGGCGGGCTCAGTGAAGGGAAGACTGACTTTTGTCAAGAAGGATCCAGGCTTAGGACGTGACTCCCCACCAGGACACACTTCTCGTGAGGAAGTCTTCATCTCAGACCGTCCTGGGGGGGGAGGGGCTTTCTGTCGCTGAGTTTGCGAGGCTGTCGCGTGTGGCCCCTCCCTGCCCTCGCCTCTGTGCAAGCAGGAGGAACTGAGGAATCACCAGGTGGGGAGACGTCTAATACCCGTTTTGGATGTGAGGGTGGTGCCCCTTCCATGCAAGACTCTGCCTCATTTGGGGAAGGGAAGGCGACCGAGGAAGTGTGTGTGTGAGCCACACACTGGGATGGGCCACCCTGTGGCCTGTTCCCTGTTGCGTGTAGGGGTTGGGCCGGTGAATGAGAACTAGAGCTGCCCTCCCGTGTGTGACGGCGGTGGAGTGGGCCTTCAGATGAGTGAATAGGCAGTGACATGGGGATTCGTGGCAGAGTTCAGGATGCTCTACCCCCACAGACAGCACCGCGGCACAGTGAGGACTTGAGCAGAAGGAACGTGACAAGGGGACGTGTTATGGTCACCGCAGGAGGAACGCAGGCGGCCAGAAGTGGTGAATGATTATAAATGTATTAGGTCTTCTGGAAAACCAGATCGGCTGAGCCCCAAAATGGCGTCAGGGATGTGAAAGGGCTCCTGGCTGGCTTTTTCTGGGCAGAGAATTCTCTGGGCGGGTGCAGATCCCGGGAAGGTCCGAGGGGAAGGACAATGCTCTCAGCCGCTGGAATGTGGTCTCCGCCAAAGGGAGTGTCGGTCGTGAAGTGGTCTAAGGGTCAGTTCCCAGGGGAGGGGGGGGCCCGATTCCATTATTTGATCAGACCTCACAGGAAGGTGCCGGAAGACCTTTGACCTTCCCCCCTGAAGCCGTTTGAAGCTCACAGGAGAGGTGCCCCCCCTCCCTGTGCTGGGAGGGAGGAGCGTCCTTATCTCCGGAGACAGAGGGACACCCAGAGGAATCCGGGTGCACAGGCCTCGTGCAGGCCCTCCGTTTACTGCTCTCAGCTCCTTCCCTTGGTCCTATCACACTTCCCCACGACTTCCCCTCCTCCTCCTCCTCAAACCTCATGAAAACTCAGGCCCAACCATTCCTGTGGGTCCTTACTTCCTCACCCAGCCTCCGGGACCTCGTAAAACAAATACCTCTGAATGCTTTTTCCCTCGTTTCCCCCCAAACTATGGGAGAAAGTTTATGTAGAAAGTCACGGAGGGAGAAGAAACGGGCTCAGGACACACGCTAACAGAATAGGGGCCCCTGGAGCTTGGGAGAGAGGAAAGCCAGATGGTACCAG